TTATATTCTTTATTCCTCTCTCTCTTTCTCTCTCCCCCCCCTCTCTCTCTCTCTCCCCCCCCCCTCTCTCTCTCTCTCTCCCTCTCTCTCTCTCTCTCCCTCTCTTTCATCAACAGTACATTCACGCATTAATAAACACACCAAAATAAACATATTAAATCATAAAAGATTTGACCTAATTGAACTAATAAACAAAAAGTAAATACATACCCTATGCACCTTAATCATTAATAGTGATAATAATAAAGAGAAAGGAAGAGAGAGAGAGAGAGAGAGAGAGAGAGAGAGAGAGAGAGAGAGAGAGAGAGAGAGAGAGAGAGAGAGAGAGAGAGAGAGAGAGAAAGGAGAAATCAAGAGGGAAAAGAAGGAGAGAAAGAAAGAGAGGGGGAGAGAGAAAAGGAATCAAAAAGGAGAGAGAGTGATAACAAATAAACAAAATACATGTACATGTAGGCCCGTACAATGTATAATACAAAATCATTGACCATGTACATATACCTCAAGGGCAGAACCTTCCAATTACATGGTCCATTGCCTGAAGACAGTTAGTGAGTATTTAAAATAAGAGAGAGAGAGAGAGTATAAACTTATTGTAAAATAACTCGTAAAACTAAATGAGCCATGAAATTATGACAAGGTGGGAGAGAGTGGGAGAGAGAGAGAGATCAATTGAAATACCAGTGAATGGAACAGTCACGTACATGTACATGTACACGCATCGGCATTTGTGTGTGTGTGTGTGTGTGTATCAACATGTATCATGATACATGTATGCACATGCATGAGTGATATAAAGGCATGGTATTACGTTGCACATACTTTCGAAACAATTACACGCCTGGTACACATTCAATATGCATTTTTTGTATTAGCTCAATCAGTTATGCGACACATTTACAGTAAAAATATCAGAACTGTTATCTTTTTTATTGTAGAAAAATTATCAACAAAAAAGAGAAAAAAGATAGGAAGGAGAGAGAATTTCGAAGAAAGATACATGTCAAAAGCCTTGCCCTAAATCTCTCCACTCTTTCCAAACGTATCTATAAAGAGCTAATAATGAATGTGCATGTAACAAACATAAAATTGGAATAAAATGATTATCTATTGGAATAAAAATGACTATCTATAGATTACAATACAAAGCAATGGCTATAAGTAGCATACAGTAGGGAAGAGAGCTTTATAAGTAGGAGCAATGAACTAACTACACAGAAGCAGAGTAAAGGCTGGTTCACAATATTACGCTAGTCCTGACGTTACGTTGACGCTGGAATCGAATCTGGATCGATTCCAGTGGAAAGCATGTGTCAAAAGGTCAAGTCGCCCACGCTTTGATTAAAAATTGACGGTACGTTGGCCTAGCGTCATATTGTGAACCAGGCCTAACTGTGGAGCATGGTGTAGCTGGTAAACCTTTTTATTGGGCTGTACTGCAGATGTACTTTAATCTTACGATTCCTTTTAAGATGCAGCAGGTGACTAGTTACTTTGTTGTCAACAACAACCTACAGTCGACTTAATTCATTTTTAAAGATAATCCATAATAAACTCGTTCTGATATACACAATATATACATAATTATGCAGCCATTATACAAAATTAGCATGTCATTATGCATTAGTGAAATTTTCCATAATTATATATATATATATATATATATAATAATACATGTAGATATACATGTACATGTATCTTATTTTTAAGTTCTGTCTCAGCCACACCAACTCATTCCATGCTAAGTGACTACTGATAGCCACACAGTCCATAACAATATTCACATGTACTTCAAACATACAAATAAAAACAAAAATGTCTTCCTAGATCTAGGTCATTGGGGGATTTAGGTCTGTTCTCTCCGTCTCCTTACCTCATAGCTGCTTTGGCTAGGGTACTTGTCTTCCATTCCTCCTCACAAAGAGAGAGAGAGAGAGGGAGAGGGAGAGAGAGAAGATTCGAGCAGAGTAAATACAACGGGATTACTGAAGAGAAAAGAGTGGGAGTAGCAGTGTATGGTGGATTCACTCATGAATAATAAATTAAAGTTAATCAACTACTCCAGTTATTAACAGATCTAGTTAATTAACTAGTCTGGTTATAATATCATTAAAAATTAATTTAGACCACGCCTTTCATTAAAAATGGCGACCGAAGTCTCAGAAACTCCCTTGGAAACTTCAGAGATTTTAGAGTCAAAGGCAGAACCTCCTAAGGTCGTGACTGTAGCTAGTAAGGAGGAGGGTAGTGTGGAAGGGTCTAAGAAGTCTAAAGAGAACGAATCTGTTACAATTATTAAAGTAACTCCGCCTTCAAGTGAGAATACTGACACAGAACCTCCAGGTAATCGAGGCCAACCTCATTTTAGTATTTTTAGTGATGGACGATGCAAACTTTAGTACAATACTGATTGATAGGAGTATCGATTGATAATACGATATTTAAGACCACACCCATAGAGTTACACCCCTCATTAGCAATGTTTACCCTGCATGTGCAATCATCCTACTTAATTAACTTATTAAAATTATCCTTTCATTAGTTAGTATGGTTGGCATATCGATAGAATTTCCTTGAAAATTTTGATACCAAAATGTATTGATACCATAAAAATTCAGTTATACCAATAAACAGTACATCAATAATAATTATTAATCTATCACCTATCGCCAATCACTATTTTGATGGCTTGCAATTTTACATTAATTGACAGAGTTTTGTTGTTGTATTATGGCAATTTGTGATTGAAATCACCAATACTAAAACCACCAATCATTAAAACACATGCTCTATTATATTACACAAGTGCATATTAAACTTTCACCTTTATTTTTATAGCAAGATTTTAAAAATAAAGTGCTGCCAGATCAGAGTCCTCTGTAATACCTAGTATGTTCCTTTTGCTCTCATTCCTACAGAATGAATTATTTTCCAAACAAAAAAGGCATTCCTCATTGTCAGCTTAGAACGATTAATTTTAACCAAAGTCAGCCATATTCTTTTTAGAATGAAAATGTACTCTCCAAAATATGCTTCATTTATGAAGTTTTATGCCTTAGATTGTTGCTATCCTCTCTCTCTTCTCTTTTAGCATTAAAGAAACCAGCACTAGAGCTGAGATATAACGAGTTTGTTAAGATGGTAAATGATATTGGGAAAGATGTCAAGCCAGCTTATACAAACAGCAGATCACACGTTGACAGGCTGAAAAGAAGTGAGAGAGAGAATGGAGAGGAGGAAAAGGCAGACACACATTATATTTTTTATTTATTAATAGATATTACTACTGCTCGTGGCATACTAAGAGAATGTTTGGGAGAGCTGGACAGATTAAGTAGACAGCAAGAGCCATCAAGAAGTGCCTCACCATCGCCTGTCATTAAACTCAATTGAGCTTTCCTTCACTCATTCTTTTTCTCTTCATCTCTTTCCAGTAATTTAAATCAATAAATCACAGAATTTTATAAAAGACAGAGCTAGCTTGTTATTTCGCATTCTTCCTTGCTATCGATAGTGTATTATGCTGCAGCTCAGGGCACATGCAATGTTAAAAATGCATATGCTTGACCATATACATGTATTTCACGCGGAAAACTTGTGTTCAAAACTGTATGTAACACACTCAATGCTTTAATGCACATAGTACATCTTGGTACATCCAACAGTACAATAATTATAATTTAAATATTCCCTTAACTACAGTATCACCATTTTTGTTACATGGAGCCAACTCCTAATGAGAGTGGATTGAGAGTTGATTTTAATAATTATGATTTGAGATAATAAATAATACGATGAAGGTAGACAGCTAAAGACCATCATTGTTCTAAGTCAAAAATGAACTCCTTGTCTAAGTTTGCTGATTATGCTTTTGTATGCAAAAATGCAACAGGCTAGGCCAAGCTAAAATGTTTTTTTTCCCGGCCTTCGGCATAATTTGCTGAACTCTAAATTAGGAAGAAAGATGAAACCTTTTGCAAGTGTGCTTTTGCAACTACATCCATTTTAGCGAGAGAGCGAGCAAGACAGGTTGGAAAAAAAGTAGCTCTCTGAGATTATATAGTTGTAGCTCTTTAAGGTCCTGGCCGGTTGCTGATTATCAGCTACTTGTCACCAATGGATGCTGATGAATTCTCTATTAACGATCAATCTGATGTGATTGCACTTTTGGAATTACATCAATTATACGAGGGAGATGTGTTCGCTTTCTACTGCAAGGAGAGGCGAGAATCACTGCTGATCAGTCTTCACTTCTTGCCGCACAGATCCCAGCTTTGTTTTCGGATTTTGGGCCCAGGGCCAAAGGGCAGTTCTACGGCGGGACCCAAGTCCAAGGCGAACAGCGATAATCGTGACCGCAATTTTGCAAATGGAGGATTGATGGTATTAGACTTGCCTTGTTTGACGGTAAGTGCTGCGTAAGCATACTCTCCACATTATTTATCTCTTTTGTGAATAGATGGTGAGCAACGGGGGCAAAATAAAGGATGAAGCAAAGATTAAAAACCTACTGCAGCTTAGAGAGCCAGTAATGAGATAAAATATCACCTTGTGTATTGCCTTTTTTAACCTCTTGTTCATCTTATTTAATTGCACCTTTCTCTCAGTCTCAAATCACTCTAATCTTTGTAATTGATTTAAGTTGGGCTCCAGTCAATTGAAGCATGCAAAGTTATTGCAAAGTTTCTTGCAATTTCCCAATTTAAGATGAAGTTTTTTGAGCTAATTATATATAATGATAGTGCCTGCATGAAAGACAATTTCTTATCTGCCTCTTTTTGACACAAGCCCTTCTCTTAAAATATTAATCTCCATTATTTATGGCATGTGTGTTTTCTCTCCTCTCTCTCTTTCTCTCTTCTACCATTTGACACATTCACCTTATTTGTACATGATAAATTACCACCCACTCACCTTATTACACATACAATCTTTCACACATGCACATGCATATGCAGATTCGGCCCAACCAGTGTCTCAATATACATTATGGTAACTGGCCTTGGAAAGAAATACAGCTAGTCGCTAAGTTCCCTCTGGTAGCTGAGACTTGGAGCCGCTGGTTGACAACCTTCCTTATCAATCGTCGAGAAAGCCACGGGATCCCCTGCTCCCAGCTGGACAGGTGGTTACTGGCACGTTACATGAACTTGAGGAGCAAGATGAATGATAATGTCCATGCAGTATATGCTGTGAAGAGTTTCACTGGTTTTAGGCTTTGGAAAGCAAGCTGTGTAAGTTCTCTCTCTCTCTCTCTTTCTTTCTTGTTATGCACCTTTACCAAATATTATGGTTTAGACTTGTATTGCTACCTAAATGCTTTCATTTCTCAATATAATGATTGATCTCTCTCTCTCTCGTTCTCTCTCTCTCTCTCTCTCTCTCTCTCTCTCTCTCTCTCTCAGGTTCTCAGTAAAATGATGAAGTCAGATAAAGAGCTGGATACACTGATAGGAGAGCAGCTCTTCAATGTAAGCTTTGAGCTCTATCAGGCCCTCTACTACAGCTACATCATCAATGACAGGCCAGACATCGTCCACCTCTACACCAGTTATTCTGCTACTAACACTCATTCTCCTTTGATCCCAAACCCCAGCTGCATGCCGATCAGCAGCAGCAATGGCCCTCCCAATATTAACAAGTACATGAGTCGTCCCTCGAGTTTCAGACGACGCTCATCTCTGAGGATTCTTGGCCTAAGGTCCCACCAGCGCCGAAACACTGTTTTCAGCGGTCAAGACATTCATCCTCCTTTTTTGTCGTCTTTGATCCCAAATGCTTCGAGGAATAAGATCTTTGGCACTCCAACCGTCATGAGTGTCGATAATTTCATGATGTTTTTGAACCGGACCCAGTCCCTCCAGTTCACGAGGGAAGAGGTGCTTAGCATTATCGTTGCAAACGAGTTTCGTTTCTCAAAGAAAGACAAAAATCGCGAGAACGACGATGATTTTTCTGATGATGACGATGATGACGATGAAGATGATGAAATGGATCCAGAAGAGTTAGAGGAACGAAAGAGAAACACAAAAAGTATCTCGTTGAGAGCTTTTACTCGCTATCTCCTCACTCATGAGCCTCTCAACTCTTGCCAGCGTCACGACGACATGACACGCCCATTGTGTCAATATTTCATAGCTTCTTCCCACAATACTTACCTCACTGGCCATCAGCTGCACGGGGAGTCATCAACGTTCATGTATTCATCTGTAAGTTTGACTACATGTACAATATGTATACAAGTACATGGAACATGTGCTGCTAGTATATAATCTGGGGCTTGTTTTTTGTTTGGTGTTTTAAATAAATGAGTAATGATTGTATACTTTAGCAATAAAGCGTTAAGGTTGTAATGTTTTATGTGTAGCACACTAATTCTCTCTCTCTTCCTCTTCCTTTAGGTTCTCCAGACTGGCTGCAGATGTGTTGAAATAGACTGCTGGGATGGGGAAGAAAGTGAACCAGTGGTTTATCACGGACACACTTTAACATCTAAGATAAAATTTAAAGTAATGAAAGGGAGAGAGAGAGAGAGAGGGAGGGAGGGGGTAGAAGAATGACATTTAATATATGAATATAAATCTTACATGTATTTCTAATTTCTTTAGAATGTCATAAAAGCAATCAATGAATCAGCTTTTCTCACCTCTCCATATCCTCTCATTCTCTCCATTGAAAACCATTGTTCAGTCGTGCAGCAAGTGAGTCTCAATCATGTAATACAGTAATCAAATTAAAGTCATTATTATAACAATTTTTATGAGGATAGTGAAATATGATGCTTTTTAGCTCTTGACGTGTGAAATTCTTACCCCTCTTCTCTCTCCCTGTTCCTCTTAGGTTAAAATGACTGAATACATGAAAGAAACATTTGGTGATGCTTTGCTGACTGAAAGTTTAACGGGAGAGTATGACATCACCACGCTACCTTCCCCAGAAGTAATACTAGCGCAAGATAATGTCGTATTTGCCATACTTGTGTGTGTGTGTATGTACACATTGAACTTGCTGCTTGCCTTTCATTATAAAGAGATCAGTACTTATTTTATGCTAGTTCATACTACAGTGCAGTATCACTTGTAATGACCAAAGCATCTTGCAAGTCTATAAGAGTAAAAGCAAAGTTTTAAGATTTACCAAACCTCTTGTTTACCGTTAGCTACTTCTTGTTGTTTACCGTTAGCTAATGCGAGCATGTACGTGTGCATGTTTATAATGAAGGGGAGTGTGAATCAGCTTTTAGCTGGTTCCTACATGCATGTTACTTGCCAGCAATGTGTAACAAGTTGTCTTATGTACGTATTTATTTATTGTCTAGGACTTGAAGTACAAGATCTTAGTCAAAAACAAGAAGCTTCCTTCATCCCGCAATCGCTCAAAGTCATGCAAAGTAAGGCAACAAGATGAAGTGTCCTGCTCTACCAAAAGCTGTTGAGTATTATTGTAAATAGGTTCCACTTAGCATGTTTCCTATTTGGAAACAAAAAATTCATTTGGTAGAGTCATACCACTTTACACTTACTGCCACCTTGGCTGGTGTAAAAGATGACGTCTTTCTCTCAAAAAAAACAAATCCATTATATCTACCTCGAAAACACTCCATAAAAGGCCCTGTCCTATGCTACAGAAACTTTCCTTATATGTTATTTTTTGGGGGACACGACCACTTCATAATAAAAGTTCTAGGCCCCTTGGCTTTTGCTTTAATTGTAACGTCACCACCGGAAGCTCTTCTCTTATCACTAGACCGGAAGCACTTTTGACCGGAAGCACTATTTTTAGGCACAAGACCGGAAAGTGGTGTTGATAGAAATGCATTTGTGAATCTCATACTCACCTAAGATATCGATCAAAGACACGCTCACATAGATAATGTGTTTATACAACGACAGATAGCACTAGGAGGCTAGCACACTTCAGCGTTCATCAGCTGGTTGCCTCCAGCTGTGTGTATCCGCCTTAGATGTGCTTACTTGTAAGCGCTTAGGCGAAAACGGTCTACTTTGCCACCTAAGATCTTTGTAATTGAACCAATTACCAATTCTGCAAGCAGTTTTAGCCTCAAGATTGTAGAATGTTTCAAAATGATTGTATTTTAGTTTACTTATTCTATTAAATGTCTTATTCATGTTTTAAGCACAAGTTGCTAGTATTGCATATAAGTAATGGCAGTAGCACATAATGGGGCCTTGTTCTTGTAGCAAGTTCTAGAAGCAAAGACACATCTATAATAAATGAAGATTGAGTATTTATTGTAATAATAGCCTTTTATTCATTGCATCAAAATATCATCATGTTTTATAAAGTTAGTGTGAATGGTCATATAAATTATGCTACTTTAATAGCGTTACACGTACTAACTTACTAAAGTAACACTTGGATTGGAACTTGATGATGTCAAACCTCTTGAATACATATATACCTGTATTGCACCAGCTGTGTGTATTTGGATAAGTAAACAGGTCTAGCTGAAAGTCTGTGTGACAGTTAAAAGTGTAAAATCTTCTTTTTTGTGAGCTTCTGCTATTGCAGGCTATGGGTACGCTTTTATTTTTTGGGGGTTTTTTCTTGATGCTGCTGCTTTTAGGCTGGATCAATTCAAGCAATAATTTCGGCTTTTTATAATTTGTACAAAACATTCATAAAAGGGAAGGCATTATTATGTTATGTGAAAAGCTAAAGAATAAGCTGATTTCCAGACTTAAGCTGGTTCATATAAAATTAGAAGTTGCATTTGGCTAAAGACTGCTCATTAGCTTATTATTATTATCTGTTTTTTCCAAAAAATGGCTCCAAAAATCACCCCCAATTTTTATTACATTTTCTAATACATATTGATGTCCTTATGCTGTGTAGAAAGTTTGAGCTGATTCAGACTTCATTTTTCAAGTTATGGCCATTTTTTTAAATGAGCCAAAATTCTGAGAAATACCCAAGGCTATATAATAGTCCATGGTTTTTTCCAAAAAATGACTCCAAAATCACCCTAAATTTTTATCTCATTTTCTAATACATATTAATGTCCTTATGCTGTGTAGCAAGTTTGAGGTGATTCCGACTTCAATTTTTCAAGTTACAGCCATTTTAAGGAAACGGCAAAATTCTGAAAAATACCCAAGGCTAGCCCATGGTTTTTCCAAAAAATGGCTCCAAAATCACTTCCAATTTTTATTACATTTTCTAACACATATTGATGTCCTTATGCTGTGTAGAAAGTTTGAGCCGATTCCGACTTTAATTTTTCAAGTTACGGCCATTTTTTAAAATGAGTCAAAATCTCATAAATATTATTATTATTTATTATTATTTTAATTTATAGTCAATGCCTTCGTCCCCCTCTTGCTATTCTCTCCCTAACCCAAACTTCGCTCCTGACTTTGACTCTGACGACGTCTTTGACTTCCCTCCATCACGGTCTCCTCAACCAGGCACCCCGACTCGCTCAACCTACTCCTCCTCCCCTTCCCTCAGACAATGCTTGAGCCCGACCGCCAAAACCCTCAGCCTCACTCGCAACAGCAACAACAGTAACAACCTCGCTGCTAAAGGTTGTAGTTTAGAGCGATTCTCCCCGATACCAAACACTCTCTCGCCGGACATGTTTAACTTACATCGCTCTCCCTTGTCTCAGCTCGGCCCCTGTGCCAAGAAACGCCGACCCTGCTCCTGTAATCCTTCTCCTCCCCCCTCCCCTTCCCCGGCTTTGCTGACCCCGCCTCTAGCCCGACAGAGGGAGATAAAAGATGCTACATTGATGAAGAAGAAAGATCA